TTCTGGAGCATTAATATCCAAATACTATCAGACTTAGTTTTACTCTAGATTATTTCTGGATATGAGCCAAGGCCCAAAAATTAGCATATGAAAACATGCTAATTTGAACATAGGTGAGATTTTTTTGAAACTAGCGGACTTTAGAGAACTAATTATTTTCTAATTTTACATAAAAAACTTTCAAAATGGGGGAACAGGTTTATATTTCTCATCCAGTTTTCGTCTGCTCTTTTGTATGCCAAGTAGAGCACCTCTTAGCCAAGAGCCATTTTGCCTTTAGAAACACAACAAAACCCCAACTAGTTCTAAAATTAACTGCCAAAATCAATTTAAGATGTGATTCCAACTACAAGTTCTAGATTTTCTTATATTTGGGAAGCACATTTACTAAATGCTCATATGGTTCTAAGTCCTAGACACATTAATGTATTCTCATTAATGTTCACCACAATCTTCACAAAACTATGAGGCTGAATGAACAGTGATAGATGAACCCCAAAGCCTGTATTTAACCATTCTACCTCCACCAACCCATATATTAACTATTTTACTCCCACATTAATTTAAAAAATGATAGGTCATCCCTTGTTTAGGGGCTATACAGCCTTAATCTAAAATTAGATCTTTTCCATTTTTATTCATGTTTTTTATTCCTATACAGCAACCTCACCCACAATTCTCATTCCTGAGTCCACCTATTTGATGAAAGTAGTCACAAGTACAGACTGGAGAATGGCTAGGGAAAAAATCCTGTGTTGGATTAACTCTGAAGCATTCAGTGTGTATTGTTTTTAATCCATTTTCACTGGTCCAAACAAATCTGCCTGCACATTTAACATTACTTGTACTGTGATTCTGTAAGAATGTCTTCATAATTAGAGGAAAAACAGCATTTAGAGGGTAAAAGGGTATGATGCCTGCAACTGTCTTTTAGAAAAAATGCATGTATGCTTAAGAATATAGGGCTATGTAGCAAAATCAATAAATGGTGAGAGAAGAACACGCAAGAATTCTTTCAACTGTTATTTTCAGAATTAGAGTTATACTATCTTTCATGTCCTAGTTTTAAAACTGCCTTCATGGAAGGGTCATCCTCACTTGAAATACTCTCAAGAGGTGGTTTTTAGCGTTTTAAACCCTTTAAAAGGACTTCTATGACTTAGTCTTCCATGGCTTGGCCCTTTCTATCTCCAACCAGTCTTTCAACACCTCGAATGTACCCCAGACTGTCCTCCTTCAGGACTTTCAGTGTGTTTCCTCTACTACCTTCACTGAACTGCTCGCTCTCTGCTCAAAGGATCCATCTTTCAGTACACAATCCTACTCTTCCTTGAAATTCCAGCTAAAAGCGGTCATGTAAAGTTTTGAGTCTTCTGGTAGAAACTACTTCACCATTCCATGAAAAATTTATCATAGCCACAACAGTCTAACTTCATTACAAATATCAAAATTATGACTATGAATAGCATTAACTCTTGATATGAGGTCTGTCAACTTCTGGCACTTTTCATCACTAATCCCCAAATTCCTTCTTGGTTTTTAAGTTTAAACCACACAAGGAAATAAAAACTACTTTTATCTTAAGCAACATTTTCTCCTGAGTTTCAAAATAACAGAACTCAAAACAAGTAATTAACAGATTTACAAAAACTACAAACTCTTAATTTCTAATATGAAAATTAAGCAACTGGATTAATGACTTATTTCCTGCTGGCAGTTTATTATTTCTAAATTGTTATGCTCCATTGCTCATCTATTTTACACTTAAGAAAATTAGTCAATGCCTTAATTTTTTTAACTGAAAAACCTAAAAGTACATGATGTCAAATGGAAGAAACACAAGATACAAAGTATACTATATTTTTTGAAAATATAATTAATACATCAATTAAAAATTTCTCATGGATCAACGCTCATCCTTTAAGTAATTTCACACCCCAACAAAGATGTCTCCATTTCTCAGAAGTCACATAAATGATCCCTAATTATTCCAAGAACTTGGTTTTTTAATCCAAGTTATATTCTGATACCTAGATTTTTAAACCAGTATACAAAGTCACCACTATGAGTTAGTTAATCTCACCATTATCATTTACATTTACTTTTCAGCTATTAGACTTAGTCCTCTAAGTCACAAATTACCTAAATTATGAATACACATTTTCAAAACAAAATCCAGTTCACAATGACCAATTGTATATACACAGTGCAGATATAAAAAAAAAAAAAAAAAAAAAAAAAAAACCACACCTAAAGTAGCATAGGATTTTCTTTCCTAAGGTTCCTATTAAGAACATATCTTCTAAACTACCCATTTATTCTGTACATTTAAAATAACACTTGGCTTGACTTAGTCAAAAAACATAAAGGCTAAAGTTTTTTTAAGACTAACCCATAAAAATGTACTCAAATTATAAACCAAGCCCTGAAACCAAGCATTCAAAAAATATCTGAATATTAGTTTAGTATTTCTGTATTGTGTAAGGTTTTCACAAACAATAAAGTTTTATTTTTATTTTTAATAATGGTAATGGCCTACAACTCAGAAAAACCCACAAATTCATACTGTCTTACAAAGAGCAGTAATATGAACAGTTAATTCAGTTATCTTAGGGGCCTTATTATACACTAATCAGTATTATTAACCTATTCACATTATAATGAAGACATTTCTATCAAAGCTAATCCTTTTCAGGTTTGTTTTTATTACTTCAGCTAAAAAGGAAACAGAGGTAGAATCCCATTTTTCTAAGTATTATTCTGTAAGACAGTTCCACACAATTAAGATATTTTTATGTCACAGAAATATTAATATTGCTTCAGTGAACTAGATAAAAATTCCGAAAATTTTCATAAACTTTCAGATATCTGTGAATCTTTAATCACTAAAGAACTAAGTGATTTATGAAACTATTGTTGTTTACTTACCATATTTGACCACAAAATGACAGAAAAAAATTTTCAAAGTATTAACTTACAAAGGTGATTATATGAGATTCTGCCATTTCTAGAGAGAAAAAAATAGAACTTCTTGGTAATCTGGTGCCTGAGTTAGGGGAAACTATAAACTGAAAATGTAAAGACAAATCAAAGTGTCTCAAAAATGTCTATATTGAACTCAGAGTAAAAACCTTTCTAGTCTTCCAATAACAAACTCCATTTAACAGGGTTTGGGAGGTTGCTTTTAAAATTATACAAATTTACAGGCCATCCTAGCCTAATCACAGAATAGCCCACTCTAAACATCTCTACTCTCTGCTCTTCAAAAATATATATATAGAAATATATCCACATTTTTAAAAAAACCACCCAAAATATCACCAGTACATTTTATAAAATTAAATGCAAATTTTATTAAGGATTTCAAATTACATATTTCAAATTTCTAAAATGGAATAGAACCATTTTGGAACTGGAGAGATGGCATAGATGAACACTGCAATGCCAAATTTATTAGGAAAACAATTCCTCTGCAAACCACATCCCCTTTATGTAACAAGATGAAATAGTATCTGTCCCTTCACTTTGGCAATAGCTATTACCTAAAGGAATGGAAAAAAAAAAATAGTGGTTCTGCTGCTTAAGTTCATTAAAAATGGGATTCTATCTTTAAAATTTTTTGAGTTCAGAAAAGGCTGTGATCAAATGAGCTATGGGAACAAAAACAAGAATCAGCAAAGAATATCTAATCAAAGCAAACAAAAGCATTTTGAAAATAAAGAGGAAAAACATAAGGTGTTTTCATGGCATTTTTTTCCTACACACTACCATAACTGGTTAAGGATTTCCAGTAGTTAATTAAAATCTCAGGAGAGGAATGAATAGTACTATACAAATAACAAGATGTGTTCACATTCCAAGATCTTAATACTAAATTTTCAAAAAGGAAGCTCTATCACTTCTAAGAACAAACTTAATGTAATTTTATTAAAAGCAGGAACTCTAGGCCGCCTTCTAATTATAATCCATTTAGTCTACCCTCACCGAGTCAAAGCTTTTAAGCTCATCACAAAAAATTAACAGTAATTAGCCTGAGGTATTTTAAATGTGGCTCTATAGTCTCAAATTTAATGGCATTTCCCCCCACGAAAAATGGTCTTCTTCCTATGTTAGTCCCATGATCTCTGTAGTTTATACTACAATATGGTCATAACTAAAACACTTAAAAACAATCCTTGGACCTTTACAAAGAGTTGCTCATCTATCAGCTTCTATTAAGATAGGAGCCACACAAAGATCTGCAAGAGTGTTGTCTGACCAGATCCAGAATAGAGGTACTTAAACCTTTGTTTTCCAGTTGAATTAACAAGCTCTGGTATGAATAAAATGCTGCCTATCATACTTGTGGTACAAACAGGTCCAAATTTTTGAGCTTTTAATGAGATCAAGAAACATTTCATAAAATTTAACTTAATATGCCTTAACATATCTCTGTGAGGTAGTTAGGTAAACAGTACTACCCATTTTAATACATAGTAAACAGAAGCATGGGTAAATGACATACTCATACTTGAAAAGCGGTAAAAATTAGAATTAACCATAGAAGCTTGGGGCCTTCTCTCTAGCTCTAATCAAAGGAAATAAAAGATTAACCTTTTAATCATTCTCTTAAAAAAAACATTACATCACTTAAGATTTTGCCTTTCTTTTTTATACTTTCTTAATTAGCCGATGTAGTACCTCTCCCAAAGTTGACACACTTCTCTTCCATAATATGGCAAACTGGGTACAATGCTTAATTCAAGCTAGGCCTCAGCTTCTACCTGAATTAGTACAAAATTAAGACATTATCTTGTGAGAACTAAAATTATATTTGACATTTTTATTTTAGGCTGCAAAAACAAAAACAAGCAAACAAACAATAACAAAAAACTTGAAATAGGCTTGTCAAATGATGTAAATTCATCCTTTCCAGGGAAGCAGAAGGTGGACCCTACCATAAAGAAAAGACGCTTAGTTAATGGAAGTTAAATTTAAAAGCACAATTAAAATAATGAGGCTTAACTTCTGAAAATAGGTTTTATTCACCTGCCTACAGTAACCAATAACCACACTATGAGTTAGGTTTCTTTACTCCGTTTCCTTACCAGGTTTCTAACTATGTCACCAAAAATAAAAAACCATTAATAATCCAAGTTATCAGTTGTTGTCTTACTGGAAATTCTTAACCATATATTTGTCTCAAGAAGTTTTGTTTTTTAAATGAGGAATTGTCTAAGTCACTGTATTTCTATAACAAAGTAATGAAAAGCACAGCTAGTGCAAGCAAATGTAAACCCAATTCCACTACCAGTTGAAAAAAAATACTTTGGTTCTTCAGGAAAAAAATTAGCAAAGCAAAAAAAAAAAAGTTTCTTTTAACAGTTCTGTTCACTTTCATAGCTGTAATCTAAAATCTTTGTTACATGATAAAAATTACTCCAGAAGAACCAAACCACGTAGTAATGAATGAACATGCATGAAAGAATTTGTGAAATCAACAGATCTGGCAGAAAAACTAGAGTTAAAATGCTAAGTAGAACAAATTGGTCTTTAAAATTATCAGTTCCTTTCCTTTAAAAAAAATTACTGAGTCTACCAAGAAAATACAAAAACATAAGGCTGTAAGTAAATAATAGTTGTGTTTAGGCTATTACAGTGCAGGTTATCCTCAAGGCCACATACATCCTGCTTCACTGCTGCTTGCACTCTGCTGGGTTTTGATCCTTCTGTTAAAGGAAAACAACAAGTCAATCTATCTTTTTCTACCTGCTTCGGTTAATTTTCAACACTAGTTATCGTAATTATATCATCTCATTGTTGTACCAAAATTTTTGCCAAATTAAAGAAAAGGTATGCAAGGATGGCAAATTATGTATTCAAATATTAGCAAGTCACAAAAATGCTTAAAATAAGGCCCGTATTTTACTCTGGAATGAACTCCATAAAATAACAAACTAAACCATAATCCTCAAAAACCACCAAGCAATTTATATTAGTCATATTACCAATAATTTTTGCCTTTTTATAAATCAATTATTCAAACATACTAACACTCATACCCTTTAGAGTATTTGATTTATTAACTACCCCTCTTACCTGCTCACTACATTAAAGTATCTTCTGGATCTTTTATAGTATTTAGCAAATGAATGAATGCACTTATCAGAAACCAAAGTTTCAAATGAATCCTGATAATGTACTATGTATTCTGGGGGAAATAAAGGGCTTTACTAACCCTGATATGACAAATACTCAAGAACAACCAATTGGTTGGGAGTCTCAAAGATAAAGAGAACAGAAGTGGTGTGGAAAACCTAACAAACAGTACTGCTTCCCTATTCCCAAGCACCCAGATTATTTAAAAACCTTTGTTTATAAAGCTATCCTTTGGAGGGAAAACCTAACAACACATCCAATAAGTAATTTCAAATTCTTCGTGTGACTCAGTCAGTTGAATGCTGACTCTTAATTTCGGCTCAGGTCATGATCTCAGGGTCCTGGGATTAAGACCCGTATCCCTGCACCCCAGGTCTAACTCTGTGCTCTCAGGCAGGGAATCTGCTTGAGGATTCTTGCTGGCTTTTCTCTCTCTGTCCCTTTTCCTCTGCCCCTCCCAAACCCCACTTGCCCTCTCTCTAAAATAACTAAATAAACCTTTAAAAACTAAAATGCTTCTTAAAAAAAAATGTTTAAAAAAAAAAAAAAAAAGCCCAGGGTGCCTGGATGGCTCCGTCTGTTAAGTATCTGCCTTTGGCTCAGGTCATGATCCCGGGGTCCAGAGTTAGAGGCAGGAATCAACTCCTTGCTCAGTGGGGACTGCTTCTCCCTCTAGCTCTGCCCCAACCTCCATCTCATGCATGCTTTCTCTCTCTCAAATACAATCTAAAAAAAAAAAAAAAACCCCAAGATAATGTATATTAAAAAAAGAAAGTTAGGGTTTATTTACCTTAGACTAAGAAAAATACAAAGTCAGAACCAAAAATAAAATTTCTTAGGAAATGTGCATTCATATTTCACGTATTATTGAAATGCCAGTGGGGATTAAAGTGGACTATACGTCATCTCCAGTCAATAGGATTTATTAAAGAGTTCAATGGACAAAAATTAAGAGATACCTATTAAGAGATATCACCTCTTATTTAACCTGCTTGAATTAAATAGAAAGCAGCACTAATTTTGCTCACCTTTGAGTCATAGTCTGGATCATTTTCCTCATCTCCTTCTTCTTCCCCTTCCTATATTAAAGTTCAAAATGCATCCATGAAGTAGGTACACAGTAGGAAGAAATGGCTCATAATGTACGGAGAAATTTTAATACAAGTTACTCTATAGGTCAAAAGATTTTCATGATTACAGAGTATGGTGACAATGCAATTTAATTGAAAGCTTCTAATATGAAAAATTTCCCAACACAACTTGAGACATCCAGAGAGCTTTTATTGAAAAGATTTACTGCAGCCAACGTTGAAAAAGTTTACTGCAGCTTTTGACTTCTTCAAAGAGCTGATAACCCTGCAGTAGAACAGAATTATTTGAAATAAAAAAAATGTTCTGAGTTTTGCAATTTATTTATTGAAACCTCATACATACATTGTTTGGCTGTAGAATTCTAAAACCATATTTTTTTTCCAAAAGGTTTATATCCCATATCACAGAATAATGATTATAGCAAAGGAATACATAAGTCACTCAATTTGCTTCTCAATGTGTTAAACAGAGAATTATTTGCTCATTTGGTAAACATTACCTCATCTGCTTCTTCACCTTCTTCATCATACTAAAAAGGGAAAAAAGGATGAAGTTTGAATGAAGCTAACAAACATTTGAGAATAGCATTAGTTATAGCCATCTTATATCCACTAATATCTAAAGAGGAAAATACTTAAGCCAAGGCAATTAATTATAAATTAAATGGCTGCAGGAATCACTCAATTCAGTGCCATTATCTAAATCTGACAATTTAAAAAGTTAAAATAAAGAACACAGTACGACTGTGCATTAAGTGTGATCAGGCAACTATTACTATGAATATTACTTGCCTATATTTATTTAAACACGCAGTACAAAAAAGGCCCTAAATCTATTGGAAAGACTGACACTTAGCAATAAAGATAGCCAAAATATTTGAGGGCAGCCTAATTTTACCTTAATCATTGCTTAATACTACTTTGGATAAAAATTCTATGCTTCTAGTATTTTTAAGTAATAAAAAGCATCTTAGGTATGTTTTGGTCAAAGAGCATAATATATCTACAACAGTGACCAAACACTAGTAAAAAGTTGCACTAAGTCAAAGCAGTCTTCCTGTTAGCAGGAAAATAAAAGCTACCAAGACCCTAAGAGAACATATTTAAAACAATTCAAGAAAGTTATCTATAAGATATCAATAATTAGCCTTTGAATTATGATTTTTTTTTTTAAATTACATCTATTCATTTAACTGCTCACCAACTGTGACCATCATACCCTCACCAAATGATTTCAACGCAGGATTCAGATTCACTCACATCATCATCATCATCTTCAATAGCTTCTCCAGTAAAGTATAACACTGATCTTGGGATTATGCGCTCACGTAAAAAGTGACCAATTTCAAAGTCTGCAGCAAGGATAGCTTCAGCATCATCATCCTGTTGTTTTGTTTTGTATTTTTTTAAGGAAAAAAAAGGCACAAAATTTAGTAACTTTTATTTAATTAGGCACATGCAAAACTCTTGGGTTTAAACTCTATGAAACAACACTGAACTTCACTTTTAACTTTCTGTCATTTTAAAATTAGCTTATGTGTGTGATTAAACAATCTTCTATATATGCCTTGGGTTTACAGGGTTTTTTTTTATTTTTTAAATTTATTTTCAGCATTAACAGTATTTATTGGTTTTTTTGCACCACACCCAGTGTTCCATGCAATACATGCCCTCTCTAATACCCACCACCTGGCCTCCCATCCCCCACCCCTTCAGATACCTCAGATTGTTTTTCAGAGTCCATAGTCTCTCATGGTTCACCTCCCTTCCAATTTCCCTCAACTCCCGTCTCCTAACACCCCTTGTCCTCCATGCTATTTGTTATGCTCCACAAATAAGTGAGACCATATGATAAATGACCCTCTCTGCTTGACTTATTTCACTCAGCATAATCTCTTCCAGTCCCGTCCATGTTGCTACAAAAGTTAGGTATTTATCTTTTCTGATGGTTCATAGGGTTTTAATAAAACAAAGTTCCCAAGTAAGTGTACATACTCAGAGAAATTTGAGAAAATAAAAATAAGAACCAGTTATTGCTTTTTTTTTACTTAAAATGTTAAAATAAAAGCAACTTTGTTACATGACTAATTTTCCTTATAAATATTCACTACTGAAAACACCAAATGGAATAATACTAAGAAAGAATCTCGGGATTTAAATAACATTAGGTATATGGCACATAATGGAAGAACATGAAGGATCACTCACACTTCCTTATTATTTTATAGAAAGAGAGTACACAAGCAGTTGTATGTATAATGCCAAATTAGGAGATAGAATCCTACTTAATAAATACTAAGTCAATCTAGGATTTCTATTTAATGACAAAGCACAACACAGAAATGGTGCAGACATTACTCAAAATTCAAATAATGTCATTTAAATTCCAAACAATACCAAACAATGAGTCAAATAATGTCATTTAAATTCCAAACAATACCAAACAATGAGTAAATATTCCATGGATGTTTATTTTGACTCATCAACATAATCCACTATAATAAAGTGAAAAAAAAAAAACCACAAAAGGGAGCAGCGCACTTTGACAGAAAGACTTCTAATCACAGGTGAAGGTGTTCTAGTTGTAACTACTCAAGGCTGTTCTATTACCATACTTGACAACAGAATTAAAAAAACAAAACAAACAAACAAAAAAAACTTCAACACAAACTCCCAACCCACTCACTGACATGAAAAGAGCACAAAATTCTATCTCTATGTTCATTAAGTAGTTCTACCTAAAATTCAGGTGCTGCTTTATAGTCCCCCTGCTTTATAGTCCCCCTTTTTGTCCCACAAAAGACAGACATTTTGAACAAAGCCACTTACCACTCTTTACGAGCAGAAATACTTGCCTTTTACAGATCTGTTCTTAGCCTTAGCCAACACTATTCCAACTCAAAAGTATTCAAAATACACATACTTTCCAATTCCAAATGTATAAAACTACTCAACTATCTGAGTTAAAGTTAAAAAATCTGGCCAACAGAAGAGCAGATTCAAAACGTATGTAGCTTACACCCTGCCTGCACAGACCTGTCTGAGATTGTTTCTCCTTCCAGGCTGTACACAGGCACTACGGCAGCTCTTGGCTATATGCTCATAATACATGGCCACAATATGAAACCATGTTTCCACTGGAGTAACAAATACAGAAAGAGTTCTAACCAGAATGTGGTTAGGAGTTTTAATAAATAGATAGTAGAAATGATTTATCTAATACATCCTAGTTTCAATAAGAAAAATATCATCTTAAGAACTTGAATCCCCCCAATACTTCCAAGCCTCAAAAGAAGTCTTTAGCCTTTCAGCATTTCTCAATGAAAACACTACAGGCATTCTGAACAAAATAATTCCAGATGCATAAAGGTCTTCTCCATGCATTGCAAGCCTCAGAATGTAAAATCAGAGTAGCAACTATCCAACTTCCCACTTCTGAGAACCAGTTCTTTAATTTCATAGTGAATAATTCAACAAATTAATAATAATTTAACTTACCAGATCTCCGCTCTCAGGAACTGCAAAATTGAGAAAAGAAATTCAAATGAGTACGAAACTAAAGAAAGCTTATAACAGAACAACCATCAATACCCAAACTAAAACCACTATTTACCTTCAGGAGGGGCAAAAAAATTAAAGAAAGAGTCATTGGAAACTGTTTTGGTCACAGTACGAACTGTCCCACGTCCCTTGTGTTTCTGCTTCTTCTTAATGGTTTTCAAAGTGACATTCTTTCCTTTTTTCCAATCTATCTGGCACCTTGCAAAACAAAGGGAAGAATCTATCAGAATTACATTATACTTTAATGCTGGAAGAGCCAAGATTTATCTAATTAAATATTTTTTTTTAAAGATTGTATTATTTTATAGAAAGAAGTGAGAGAGAGAAGAGTGAGAGCACATGCAGGTGAGTAGGGGGGAAGAGCAGAAGGGGGGAAAAAAAATCACAAGCAGATTCTGGGCTGAGACATAGGGCTCGATCTCACAACCCTGGGATCATGACCTGAGCTGAAACCAAGAGTGGAAGCTTAACTGACTGAGCCACCCAAGTACCCCAAATGTTATTGTTTTAATTACAGATTTTAGAGGGAAAAATTGGCTCAAATGTTTTCAATAGCAATATAAAGAGAAATTTTTAATTCTAAACACATTTTTGCAATAAATAGACAATTAACACAAATTCATAATATAATAAATTTAAGTGTGTTCTCCTTTGAAGAAATGTCTCTAACACTATAAGCCAAGGAGAATTCTAGGAAAATAAGTGTGTTCATCTAATAAAACACTTTTCTGAAATGTTTAGAGATAAACTATGCATCAAGGACACACAAGAATTTACTAAATAATACAAATCACAAATAAAACAAAAAGACAGAATATTCTGTGGAAGTAGTAAAATTAAACTCACCCTGTACAACCCATAATTTCTGGTCCATCAAAAGAAAAGGGATCAGAATCATCTGGTTCTGACCTCATCCTGTATGTTTTTGTCAACACTTCATTTGTGAAATATTCATTGGGTTCAAAGTGAAATTCTAAGACGAAACTCTTAAAAAAAAAAAAAAAAACTAATGAAATTCCTACATCACAAATGTTAATCCATTAGTAAGTAAAATTCAATCTGTTTATTTTTATAAACATGTAAACGCTTAGGCGATAATGCCTTTCCTATTCTGGGAAAGGGTCAGATAAACCCCAAATTATGTTAAAAAAACAAGACAAGACACAAAATAAAACTGAATAAAACTTAGCTTAGCTTACAATATCTATTTATTAACATGTTTATAAAATAGTTTTATTCAGTAATAAACTGACCAAGTACTCCTTCCTCCTTCCATACCCATAAAGAGGACTTTTAATCATCTTATCCAAATTTGACAGGAACAGCCCAACTGTACTACACACGATAGAACAAACTATAGCCTGTAGTAGTTTTCCCCATTCCTCACATACTACTAATGGTTTCTGGGAGAAGCTAGTAACTGATCTTTCATCATGAAAAGTGGAAGCCCTCTAACATATTCTGTTTTATGTATTTCCCAGACACATGCCTTTCGAGACAGAGTTAAGTATTTAGGGTGCTACTATTTCTTACCTTTTTTTAATCTAGGATCAAGGAGTTCCTATATTTCAAAAACAGTTTTATATTCAGAGGGAGGAAAAGAAATAAATTCTGCATCACAATTACCAACATTTAAACCACAATTATTAACATCCTACCAACAACAGTACCAAGTACGAGTTTTAACTTCTTTCTGACCCATCTCTGGGCTTAGAATATCACCTCTTTTTGGAAAGTTCCATATGTCTACCTAAAAACGTCGAATGTTAAAAAACTGAAAATACTTTAAAGTTCTTTTACCATGGGCTGGCCAGCATCTGAGAACTTCACTTTAATATCTTTCAAGTGCTTCAAAATAGGTTCATCATGTTCCTGAAAATTAAGAAAATATGGAAATGCATATCTAACATGGCATTTTAGGATTAGTGTGCTATTACTGGACAATAAACATTTAGCTGACTGAAACATTTTTAGTGAGGCCTTATGTAACAATTATGAACCATAAGACCTATTCTCCAGATTATGGCTTATACTAAAGCTAGTTTACTTATAAGCTCTACTTACTTCTACTGGCAATAGTAGGAAAAAAGTGACTTAACAGAGAATTACATCATCATCAGACTGAATGGGCTGAAGACTAAAAAAAATTAAGTCTAACTCAGGCATGTTGGCTTTAAAAACATTTCCTTTTCCAGCTGCTTCTTGTTCCTTTCACTGTGCTAGGTCCTTTTCTACTTTTCCAAAGGAGAAATGCAATAAGCAGTCATTGTTATGAGATTTCTTTTCCATGACTTTAACTTTCAACAATTACACTATAAGGCAATAAGTACTATAATGCACAGAGTAGTGGCTCAAGAAATGCTTCTTTTTCTATTTTTTTTTTTTTTTTTAGATTGTATTTATTTATTTGACAGAGAGAATTCAAGCAGGCAGAGCAGCAGGCAGAGGGAGAGGGAGAAGCAGGTTCCCCACGAAGCAGGGGGCCCAATGCGGGACTCCATCCCAGGACCCTGGGATCGTGACCTGAGCCAAAGGCAGATGCTTAACCAACTGAGCCACCCAGGCACCCCTCAAGAAATGCTTCTAATTAGGACAGGAAAAGTTTCCCAGAGAAGGTGACATCTGTGTTGTACTCCCAGAAAAAGCGAGAACTGTAAAAGAGCTAAAGATCTTTATGTTATTCTTTTAAAATGTAAATATTCCTTGGAATATTTGTTTCAGACTGAAAAAGTCTTTTTGGGTCAGATAAAAGAAATTTTAAGTTTCCTCCCTCCAATCTCTAATACTAAGTACCTAAACAAAGAAGACAAAAGACTATGACAAAACACAGCTCAATGATAAACAGCTGTCAAAGGGACCACTTCATTATCTAATTTCTGAAACTGAATTATAATTTATTTATTAATCAAAAATGTCATTTTCCTTCTACAGGTAACAGAGGTTTCAAAAGACAGCAATCATTCTACAGAGGTCAACAATGGAGAGACTAGTCATCACAGCCATTTAAATTTCAAAGGTTTTTATCCTTTGAGGTAGTCGGATGTTTTTATGAATAAAATTACCTGAACCATATCACTGAGCAAGTCAACGTTCTTAAAAACAGTTAACCAGAATTCAGGAATTCCCTTGGGGTCTTCTTTTTCTTCATCTTTTTTCTCATCTTCAATCTTGGCTTTTTCTTTCAGCTCCTCCTTGATAAATGACAGCATTAAGTTACTAAATTCCTAAATCAGACTATTTGATAAAATCTTACCCATCCCCTTAACTTACATCCAGCAGTGAAGTACAGAAACCAACAAATCCTCAATCACCAATTGCAATTTTCAATCAGTTAAGTTCTAGTCTAATTGTGTAAACACTGCTGTTACCCATACCAAACTTTACTTCTACAAATATTACTACTACCAGACCCCTCCAAAAGAGAACCACTAAGAGAGAACCTATGAACTATATGGAAACAGTTTTAGAGAAAAATTATAAAGCTTCAGGAAAAATAATAATAAATAAACCTTGCCCAATTCCTCACCCCTTGTTCTTATCAAAACATTATGTTCTCCTTATCAACCAACATTAAAATAGCAATGCTGGGGAAAGAGAGTCATGTAACAGAAAACTGTATTTATGTCACAACCCTGCCGCTTATTAATTGTAGGAAAGTCAAACAGAAGCCTCCATTTCATCACGTGAAAAACAGTAACAATATTTTATATGTCATGATGAGGTTCAAAGGGAAAGTTTATATAATCTATTAAAATTTAAAGACTAAAGAAATGCAAGGGAACAATGTATTTGGGTACAGACGGCACCAGGGCTAAGAGTGGCTCATCTGTTCTGATTATCATTAACTCACCATCAATCTTACAATAAAATATTTCCAAGGTATAAAAAAAACCCCTAAATTACAGTTGGTACCAACCGAAATTTCATCCTCCTCATCTGGTTTCCATTCACATTCTTCTTCCGTAGGTTCATAAATTGCATTAATGATCTCAAATCGCTAAAATGATTTAAAAAAACAAAAAAGAAAAGCTTGCATAAAAACACTGACATCCAGCTAGTAGCTGTTTCTCATTAAAGATGTGTATAGATTTAATGAATGCATACCACAACTTGCATTGCTATTATCGGTAGTTTTCCTAAATACCTCTAATAACCATTTTGGTGAGAGGTCTGAAGACTAACCACCCGCAAGTTTGTTTGTATTTCCAGAGCTTTATTGTAATCTCAAATTTTAGATCAAGAAAATAAATTAGTAGAAATATTACCTTATCAAACAGAGGCTGATAGAGAACAGCATACTTTCTTTCAAGATCATGAACTTCCTCATAGAATTTGGCTTCTATCTGTGCACATTTAACTTGAAGATTTTTGAGAGCATTCACTCGTCTTTTAACTACCCTAGGCAAACTGAAAGGTTGGTACACACCAGTTACAAAGCATCACAGTAAAACACAAGTCACACTTTTATCATATTGAAAAGTAAAGCAAAGAAGTTAGTGAATGATAGGTGTCCTACTTGAAGCAAAAGCAATACTCAAAGTAATTAAAATTCCAGAAACATAAATACATGAACTTAACTATAAAATATTTCAAGAGTGAACATTTAAGCAGATACAGTAAGTTGTGATTTAAAAAAATGTAAATCATATCAAACCTAAATCTTTCATTATAATCAAGTTCAGGATTAGACTTGTCTGTGCTGGCATTTAAGCTGTAAAATAGTCTATCTCTTAGGAAGTTAGAAAGTCATGGACTAACCATCCTGAGAATAAGGACAATACCTTGCTTTAAAAAAAGTATGCATATCTCACCCATACCAGCTATTTTTAGGGAAAAGGATATTAGAAAAAAGGAGGGAATCCTACACCATTATTTCCTATTTTAGTCTCTATTTAGAATTTAAACTTACATTTAAAAAATGTGTATTTCATTAAGAGACTTTCAGTAACAGGTTTGAGATATAATTCATAAATCATACAATTTACTATGGGGTATAAGCCCCCTGAAGTATGATTAAACTTATGACTCTCCCTACCGCTCAAAAAATGTTTGCTCAAAATTTATTGAACTTCAGGGACTCTATACAACAGATAGAATCCAGGTTAGAATTTCCTGCCTTAGGCAGATTGCTATAAATCAAGTAATTCTCTTACTTAAGTTAACTACTTTAGGTAAGATAATGAGAAATAAAAAATTTTCTACATATACCAATTTTTTATTTCTCACAATTCAAAGTAAAAAGTTTGATGTGTTGTCAAGGTGATGAAATAGCATGGGGTGCTGCCCACCCCCACACTTTGTCTCAGAAAAACAAAAAGAATTCAAATCTAGTAATTTCAGAACCAAGAAGAAAACAACTATTCAGGGGCTCACACACGCAACCACACACATACCAGGAGCAACTTCAGGGTAAGAGTAACAACTGTACAGAGTGAACTGCAACCTGGAAAAGGGAGGGAATGGGTGGGGCAGCAGTGAGGAGAGGCTCGAAGAAAGCTTTTGAAATTCTGCACTTGCCTTACAACAGTCTCTATTAACTCCTTCACCCTTTGCAGAGCCTAGTGCCAGCATTGTTAGTAATGATGAAAGCTGAACTGGCTGGCTGAGAGCCTACAAGCATTCTTCTTCCACCCTTCCAATCCAGGTAAAATGGATTACAACCAGAGGAGAACGCCTCTTCCCCAAGCAGCCAAAAACAATCACCTGGAACTGACAGCAAACTCTTGAGTCCGAAGTAATCAGAACTCTCCTTAGGTTCATTCCAATCCCTTTTCTTAAATTCCATGGGACTGTCACAAACCAGAGCCTCATCTTTATTTCTCCCCTCAATAATCATTACTGGGGAGCAACTTATCAACCAGTGAGCCTGAGCTCTACAGCCAAAGTAACTAAACCCTTAAGAAGTGTAATTTTTAATGAAAGAATGAAGTATTTATTATCTGAAGCCATATTATTAAACAAAGCAATGTAAATATATTTAAAGAGGGAAGAAACGACACCAAGAAATCTGAAACAAAATAGAAATATTAAATATGAAAAATACAGTGCCTAAAATAAGTAACCAATAAATAGGATAAACAGAACATAGGTTCAACTTAAGGAAGTCCATTAAAGTTGAAAAGCTCTCTAGAAAGGCAGCAGGAAAGACAGAAAAATTATGACTTGGACAACAAAATTAGCAACAGCTGAAAGACAGAAGAGGTGGCTATCTGAATAAATGAAAAATAAATTTCTCAGAGTTAAAGTAATATGGAAATCCTTACTCTAAATCCCTAAACAGTTAATGAGATTCATGAATATCAAAGACCAAAGAAAATTCTAAATGTGTTCAACGAAAGGCAAATAACCTACACAGGAGAAGGAATCTGACATCAGCTTCAAAAGGAAATAGCATATACAAGAAGAAATGAACTTTTATTTAAGAAATCTGAACTTATAATTTTATAAGCCAAACTATTATTCAAATATGAAGACAAAATAAAAATTGCATGAGGCATATAGGCTTTAGGAAATATGCCAGATATACTCATTACATTCATTAAAAATAATTTCTGAGAAAGTTTTAAAAAATTAAGAAATTACTATGTAAGTATGGGTGGCCAAATATCTTGGTAAATCTTACTGTTGCCTTGATAGAAAAAAAAGAAGACTAGAGAATGTATATTTATAAATAATACAGACATTAGTAAATTTATGAAATCAGTAGGGGTAAATAAACTTAACGAGTTATGAGCCCCTTGGGTTGCCTGGGTGGCTCAGTGGATTAAGCCTCTGCCTTCAGCTCAGGTCATGCTCCAGGAGTCAAGATCTCAGGGTCCTGGGATCAAGCCCCCGCACCTGGCTTTCTGCTCAGCAGGGAGCCTGCTTCCCCTCTGCCCCCTCTGGCCGCCTCTCTACCTACTTGGGAATCTCTGTCAAATAAATAAATAAAATCTTTACAAAAAAAAAAAGAAAAAGTTATGAGCCCCTTTACCATAATAACAAACAACAGAATGCAGTAACTTTAACAGAAGACAACCTAATTTAATGGAAAGCAAAAAAAGAGAAAACAAGGCACAATAAATTATAAAATAATAGCAATTGAGTCCAAAAACAATACCGCTTTCAAGAAATGCAGTTTAAAATTACTAATAAAGGGAGCGCCTGGGTGGCTCAGTGGGTTAAAATCTGCCTTCGGCTCAGGTCATGATCCCAGGATCCAGCCCCACATCAGGCTCTCTGCTCAGTGGGGCGCCTGCTTCCTCCTCTCCCTCTCTCTGCCTACTTGTGATCTTTCTGTCAAATAAATAAATAAAATCTTTAAAATAAGTAAGTAAATAAATAAAATTACTAATAAAGAAGCAAACTTCCATACTAAAGATATAAGGATGGAAAAATCCATGCAACGTAAATAAAAACCAGAAGAAAGTTAGAATAGCTATCTTAGTATCAGACAAAACAATTTATAACACCATCACCACCACAAAATACGACAGAGGACATTTTATACTGGTAAACTAGAACAAAAGGACAAGATATACACATCACAAACATATAGTTAATAATACAGCTTCAAAATATATTAATCTATAACTAATAGAATTACAGGGAGAAACAGTTTAAGCAGAAATTTTTAACACATTCTTCCCAGAAACTGTCAGATCAAACTATCAATCAATAAGCAGAAATAAGCAAACCTGAACAACACAATTAATGTCTAGGCTACAAATTTCAGCATATAGTTTCACACTTAACTTTCATAGAACATTTAGAAAAACAAATATTAAGGCCATAAAAGATAATTTTTTAATAAAAATCAAATGAACAAAGCCCTCAATTCAAGAAACTGGAAAGGGGAATGGAGCAAATCCAAGTAAGGGTTCTCAAACCAAAGGCCAAAGTCCATTTTTAGAAGCATTCTACCCACCATTAGAGACCAGTTAATTCCTATCTTATACAAGCTGCCTTTAACAGCAACCCTGTTTATTTCATTAAGCAGCTGAAATCTTGACTCTAATACCAGGGCATGGAATTACCATCCCGTTAAAGTTTCTGTATTGTAAATATACATATACATACATCACACATGCATATCCAAACACACACACATATTCAAGGACATTTCACTAATGAGTAAGGACCTTGAATAAAATATTGACTACCTGACACAACAGTATAATATTAATACATGATTAAATTTATTCCAGGAATGCAAGGCTAGTTTAGTATTGGAAATACAGGTTTCCAAAAATATATTCAATGTGTACTTAATAGATTCAAAGAAAAAGTCAAAAGACCATCTGAATACATACAGAAAAAAGGTCATAAAAAAATCCAAGTGGACACCAAGTTTAATGGAGAGATTTTATATCCATTCCTGGTTAAGACTAGAAATAAGATAAAGATGCTCACATTCAATGCTAACAGTACTGAAAAGTCCTGGCCAATGTTATAATGAAATAAAAATAAACCTGGTATGAAAGATTAGAGCTAAAACTGCCATTATTTGCAGACAAGATCTTTTGCCTCTGGGAGAAAAGAAAAGAACAAATTACTATAATACATGTAGCAAGATTTCTGGATGTAAGATCAACAGCAAAAGAAATAAAAAATAAAAATAAATCAATAGCACTCTTCTCTACATCAACAACATTCAACTCAGAAATACAATACAAAGTAAGATGTTATCCACAATACCAACACAACTAAAGTATACAGAAATTAACCAAGAACAGACAATGAGAAATATTTTGTAATAAAAGAGAGTATGATTTCAATAAATACAAGGATATAGATGAGACAATTTTACATTAGAAGAATTCCCTACCCATTTTAATCTATAGATTCAATGCAACTCCTATCAAAATTTTAGTCGGGGGGAGGGGGTTGTTTTGTGAAAACCCCTATCAACTTACTATCAACCATATGTTGGATAAAGTTTACATATGATTAGGCCAATCTTGACTGTATTCCACAGGGGATGAGGAAGGGAGGGAGGGTAAAAGAAAGCAAGACATTATAGGGAGAAACAAATTAACAGAATGATTAAATTATCACCCTACCAGATACCATTTACATACTAAAAAGCCAAATTAAAAAAAGAGTGCTGCTCAAAGACAAACACAGGTGTTTATAAGAAACTGATACGCAATAAAGGTCGTATCACAAATAAATGAGGAAATAATGAACTGTTTAGTGAAGTGTTACAGAAACAAGCTCAGTAAAAAAGGCACAAACAAAAAACAAAACACCCTAATGCACAGCTAAATACAAAGAGGGTTTATTAAAGACCTAAAGATGAAAGGTAAAACTAGTCAACAGGAAATGGAGAAGGAACTAGTAAGAACTTAACCTGAATAAGCCACAGGTCAAAAAACCTAGAACATAAAAATTAAGGACTTCTGTTTTATGGAGAATGCTATGGATAAAGTTAATAAAAATGACAACAGATTATTTACAAAGTCTAAAACTGATAAGAGATTAACACCTTGAATATAAAAAAAACTCCCGCAAAACAAGATAGTAAACCCCAATAGGAAAATGGACAATGAGAACAACCTAAAAGGTTCACACTCATGATGAATAAAAAGCTCATTAGACAACAAAAAGTACAAATAAAACAAAATAAACCTGGACCTCTTAGACTGGTAAAAGCAAAAAACCCATAAAGCTGAATGATGCCACAACTGCTGGCAGAAACAAGGATGAAGGTTGCCTTCATGCACTGGATACAGTCATTCTAGAAAGCAAGCTGGGAAGTACTGAAAAGCTTGCATACCCTGTAACTAACAATCCCACTGTAAGTATGTATCCCCCCCAAAATTCTTACACAGTTCTTTAAGAAGGCATGCAAAAAGAGGACCATTACAATGGAATTTGTGCTGATGAAGCTTAGAGGCAATCAAGATATCCATCAAAGAAAAAGCATGTAATAAAACATGGTGGACACAAATCACCATAAATGGTAACATTCAGAAGCCAGAAACTACTAACCAGAGATTATACACAGATAGCAACATGGATGGAGCTTAAACTCATAAAGCCAAGTAAAAAAAGAATTATAAGCAGAATAAGATATACAGGCTACTATTAATGATTTACAGGACCAGTGAAATAAGTAAGAAATTCGCATTTCTTCTAATTCTGTGTATTTCTAGTAAACCTCCGAACAAATCTCAGAAATGGTTAAGATCAGTGTACTTCCTATGGAGAGGAGTCAAACTTTAAAAGACCAAGTCTAAATTGGTGGTGCTCAGCGAAATTTTAAACTCCCCAAAATCCTATGCTAGATACTAACAGACATTAGCTTTCCACTATTAAGTATATGAGTCCTAGATGGTCTTAAAAAGATATACCTGCAATGCTGATTACAGAAGGATAAATAAAGACTACAGAAAAGAAGAACTTGTACCTTTCAATGTATCCTGTTGGTGTTTCTACCAGACCATCAAGTCTTTCTTGAAGGGCTGCAAGAATCTGAGGATTTTGCATCATCTGAACAGTCAGCTGACGCGCTTTAAAAAAAAAAAAAAAAAAAAAAAAGGGCATCGAAAGAAGGATTTTATGAAAATGTATTATGCTATTTTAATAGGACAATCCAATAATGAAGTTTTCCTGACTAGCCCATAATTCATTGGTCTGAGTAGAGATGGGGAGCAAGCTGAGGAAAATCCACTCTGGAAAAACCTGAAGTTGAGATTCCTAATGATCTAGTAACACAAACCATTTCTCATGTCATTGCCACAACTACTATTAACTATAAATGTCCCTTCTCTTCCTACTACCTTGTGTTTCATCTACCTTACATTTTTAAGAAGCTCAAAGCTTCATCCAGATGCCTACCTATGACTCCATATAATGCTTTGATGGTAGACCACACATTATCAGAAAACTTCAAGTGTACTGACACTTTCGACCCTGGGAGAAAGACTGTGAAGTAACCTAACTGCTTGTTTGATGCGTACAGTATAGTGTGCTTCTGTGTATCAGAATAGAGAAAGTTAATAGCTGAGACAACCAAGGTTGTAAACTAAAGCCAAACAAAATGTGGTTGTTAATGTGTCCAAAAATTATACTAAACCAAAAATAAACTAGATTTAGGCAAAACAAATTATTTTGCTATTATTATCTCTTCGTCAATAGACATTACACAAAACTGACATGAATTTTCCCAGTTATGTTTCTGTCAATTCCTGGTATTAATTTGATTACTGGATGGTGTACAGTTATGATAACCAACATGACTTTAGAAATGTCAATGTTGGCCACTAAGGACACTGACCTACATATCTTTTAAGACGATGCTACAAGATGAAAGCTGAAGCTAAAGTTCAGCTGTCTTTTCACAATTAACCTCCATCTGGCTCAACAATGAAAAGTTGAATCATCTAGTACTTTATTAATTCTTAGCCCATACCTACAAGGCATAACCTAAAGCAGCACAATTCCCCACTACCATCGCTACTTCTCCCTTTATAATTATTTGCTGAAAAAAACTGTAAGATTTTTGTTTACATTTAATAAATGTTTTTTGTCACTTGGTAGGAAATATTTTTTAAAAAGCTTGAAATTTACAACTATTATGTTTTCTATATATGAAATACTGAACATTTCCAGTAACTCTAAGCTAGTATTGTTTGTTTACAACTACCACCAGAAACAACTCCCACCAAGACCTGTAACATTTCTAAATTCAGACAAAACTCACAGCAGCTGTTTGACCCAGCGAAGCCATGTCACTCCAGCAGTAGAGGGTACACCAAGTAACTTCTGATGGGTCACTAACTATATTCACACCTTCCTCCCTTATTACCACTCTATATCCATCTCCCTCTTCCCCTCCTTTCTTCCCCCCACCCCAAACAAACACACACAAACTGTTCCTGAACTAGACGTATGGGCCACATGGGTAAAGCAGACAAGGATCCAAAAGGGAACAGTATTTGTTACTACCCTCTAGAAGACATGTGCCAGCAATCACTGGCTCCTGAAGTAATTTAAAATAATACCTTTGATTTTTGTTTCTTCACCAGTTTCTTCTTCTTCTACTTCTTCAACATCATCCAAATCTTGATCAAGTTCAGACTGTTCTTTGCTACAATATCATAGTATCACACCAAGGTTCAAATGTACCAATTACCAAAAAAAATTAAAAATTACAAAAAACTTCAACTCATTTTCTAAGTTAATATGCCTCTTTCAAAAATATGAAATTCAAAAGGTAATTCAGTTTTCTTTCTAACTTCATAAATAAACAGCATAAACTGGAAGTACGTAAAATTTCATTTAAAAGCACATGGTCAAATATAAAATTTGTATTTTAAGGTTTTTTTCCAGAGATTTTATTTTTAAAGAAATTCTCTGCACCCAATGTGGTGCTCAAGCTAACAACCTGGAGATCAAGAGTTGCATGCTCCACCGACTGAGCCAGCAGAGGCCCCTCTACTCTTAGCTTTAAAAATGTCGTTTGATAGGGTTGGTTCCAGGAACATGAGGTCAAGAAGTATATGTTCTCTACCCAGTATCCGCTGACTTCACTCTTCTTAGTAACAGCACCCTGATTTTACATGAGATGGCAATACACCAAGCTTTTAAAAATCTCCATTTCCCAGCCTATCTTTTAGTTAGGTGTGGTTATGTAACTCTGGGCAATGAGTTAAAAAAGCAAAATGTACAGAATTTTGAGTATGCCTTCCTTAATAGGATAATAGACAACTGGGAGGCCTTTTTGATCTTACTCCCTTTGCAGAATAGGGATATAAATTATAGAGTTCTAATAACCATGCTGGGACCATGAGGCATCCTAGAGAATGAAAGCCAACAGAATGAAGGAGTTTGGAAGAACAAGGATCCTGGATCCCTGAAAGCTACAGGGCAATCACATCAGCCTGTACTCACTATCTTAGGACTTCCCTTTTTCTTTACTTCATAGTGGAGATGGGCAGAAAGTTAAGAAAACCTAAGTCTACCTTTGTACTTAAAGCCAGGAGGATGGCACCATTGAAAGGGAAAAAAGTAGTAAGATAACATTCACCCCCTTTCACCTTAAAAATCTAGCTTTTGAATATGAAATTACAATGAGAATTAAAAAGGGAAATAAGGTTATCTAAGTCAACATATAGGTCTTCATATAATTCCTTGTGTGATTTTACATTTTAGTATTTGGTTCACAGATTTAGTCACGTTCACGTTTAGGAACAGCAATTCAAGTATTAACTTTCATACACAGACAAATACCACCTAATTTTCATATAAGAACAAATACAGAAAAAAGTCAACTGTATTCTGCCAGCAAAATTTATGTCCCTGTAAACTAAGGAGAAAAAATTCAGCCTTCCCATCAGAAACAATAGATTATTTCTGAAACTGTCTTTGATTTAGTATAAACCTAAACGTACATAGATTTAAGGGCCATTAAATAAAGATCACATAGCACAGCTACTCCTCCAGTGTGATTTTAGTCATATACTGAACACCTACATTTTAAGGCCTTAAAACAGGGGTCCACAGACTATGTTACATGGTCAAATACAGCCCACTATTTTTCCAAATCAAACTTTATTGGAACACGGCCATGTAAGTTTGTTTACGTACAGTCTATGGCTGCTTTTACACTACAACAGCAAAGCTGAGTAACTGCAACAGAGACCATACAGCCCAAAATGCCTAAAATATTTATAATGAGGTCATTTAAGTTTGCTAACTCCTGCTTTAAAAAACAAGAATACTCCCTTCCTTCCACCCTCCTAGGGCTCACAGCCATCTAAAATTAAATAAGGTGATGGTGGGGAATTGAGCTGTCAAAACCAATTTATTCTTTTTTTTTCCCTTAAGTTCAAAACAAAATGAGGTTGCAAGGTTAAGATGGCAGATTGCACATACTCCTCTGATCTTAGTCCTTCCAAAATCTCTACTAAAATTAGGATAAAAGGGTTTTTTAAACAGACGAACACTGAAGGACAGGAAGAGAAGAAAGAGCAGCAGCAAGTTCATAGAGAAGTGAAAATCTAACTTAACAGTGGGAAAATCTGAAAACTAGACCTAATACAAAATCAAAAAGGACACTTTTGGAACTAGGGCTGGAGGGATGAAATTTGGAGAAAACAGGGAGGACTAAACAAAAACTGATAAAGCAGTTTAATCTCCAGATTCTCTCCCTCAATCTAGCAGAAGCACAACAGCTTCTTCTTTGGAAAGGGTTAAACTAAGAGCTCAGACTATAAGACCACAGATACAGCTAAGAGTCTCTCAGATATAGGACTGTATCCCGCTAGAATGTTGGATGTAGAGACCCTACCCTAGCCACCTTTTCCCAATTTGGACTCTATAACTGAAAGCCAGATCCTCATCCAGATATTCTTCCTTAAGGTATCTGACATAGAGCCCACCAAAAAAAAAAAAAAAAAAATCATTCTGACAATGGGGATTCTCACAATAAACAACCACCCTGATGACCTTACATTACAATCTAAATTAAAAGCCTCCCTCCACCCCACAACAAATTTTCTCATCAACTTTTTTTAAACATCTCTCATCTGCATATTCTCCCCCACCCAGATCTTAGTGAGTAGACAACCAAGTTTTATGTCCTATTTGAGAAAATGCTTTTATATGGAGACAAAAACAAATACAGGAAAGAAAAATTTAAGAGCAAACAAACTACACAGGGAAAAAACATCCACAGAAAAGATACCACAATCCAGTAAAAAGATATTACAGTCAATGAAGTAGGAACAAGATGCTATAAAAAACAGGAACAGAGAATAAAGATACTCCTGAAAACTACACAACAGAAATTTAGACACTTTCCATGCTGAAAAGTAAAATTTCTTCAGCTTTCCCTAGAAAGAAGAGCAGAGATAAAGATGGGAAAACAAGACAAAAGATAATTAGAACAAGTTCAACATTTAACATAAAGGAGGTCCAGAAAGAGAAAACGGAAATAAGACAATCAACAAAATAAGTAAGGATATTCCCCAGAAGTGAAAGCCATCAGGTTGCCAGATTGAAAGGGCCCACCACTGAATGCCTACTACAACAAACTTTAAAAAATACATATAACAATGTGAAAATTTCAGAACTCTGAAGCCAGAGTGCTTCCAGAAATATGTATGTTTAACACAAAAAGTGTCACATACAATGATCAAGAATTATAATGACTTGGAACTTCAACACAGCAATACTGGAAGCCAACTGATAATGGAGCAATGCCTTCAAAATTCTGAAGAAAGAGGATTCCCAAATGAGAATTCTACACTCAAACTATCCAACATAAGAATAGAAGTGTCCTTTTCAGTCATTTATCTTAAAATAATTTATTTCCTTCGTACTCTTCCAAGAAAGTATTAAAGAACCAAAAAAGAAAATAACATGGGATACAAATTTGCAAATAGCAAACCCAAGAGAAAAAAACAAAATGAAACCCCAGGAAGAAAATAAAACAGATCCACAATGATGGCTATATAACCAAGGTTAAGCAATCCAGATTGGAGCAGTATAATACAGAAGGCAATCACTTTGAAAGCCGTTATCACTAAAATATCTGCTACCATTCTTTTTTAAACATGGAAGGATTGGCCAGATTCTTATATGTACTTGAATGTGATGCCCTTGTGTAAATTTTCCTGCCTTCCCACCTCCATGCTCTGCTGCCTACAACTTGTGTGTATCATACCCCCATCCAAGTCCAAGTGTTGTTTAACCTACTCCCAAGCTATGTGAAATCGTAAGCAACAAATAATGCAGCTCACTTATTCTCCCTTACCATATTTCTGCAAGACATCCATCCACACTAGAACCCTGACAGAAGCCAACTTCATAAAACTGATGTTTCTAGAGTACATGACCTTGCCCAATAAATTCTTCAGGATAGCTGATGCTAGACTATGACCCAGATAATCTTTTTTTTATTTTCCTACCTTGGAGACTTCAACTGATAGTGGTAATTTTGCTTTTCTTTTTAAACACAGATAAGTTTGTGACTGCTATTCAGATTTTCAAAATTAAACACTGATTAACAATGTACAGGTGTTAAAACTCTAAAAAAACAAAACAAAACAAACAAAAAACCAAACAAATGATTTAGACAAATGCCAAGACAGTGCTTACACGTCTGGAGAAGGTGGAGGATGCAACTGAGAAGAGGGACACTGGGCTTCTAATACTAATGTTTTACTTTTAAAAACTCAAATATAATTATCCTAAACTCTACATATACATTTCATACACTCTTCAACTTGTTTGTATGATACACTAATATGGAAGTAGTAAAGTCTTCGGGAAATACACATATGGTAAAAATGGATTTTGCCAAGTATTTCTTCCTCATTTCTGTGCTCAGCACATTCCTAAGAATAACCACTGGCAAATGGTTTATTTAAGACAATGATTATATATACATTTTGTTTTGGATACACTGTACCCATCATTATATCGGCAGGTATTAAGCATCAGTCTTTACCATACATTTTTATAATGTTATTATTACTACTATTAATTACATCACAGTACAAAGTGAAGCCCAATCTCTGGGAAAAGTAAAAAACAAACAAAAAACCAACTATCTGGCACTTACTTGTCAATGTCCGCCATGTTGTTAAGAACTCCAAATATCTACGGAGAGAAATGCCAATGTTAACAAAATATACTTTTATATATAATGTATTTAAAACCATTAAAAACATTTGATGCCCAAACCCTTTAAATCAGTACCACACTGAGAACCAACCCAAGAAGGAACGTATACTCCCATTAAAAACACATCACTGTTGGGTGCCTGGGTGGCTCAGCTGGTTGAGCAACTGCCTTTGGCTCAGGTCATGATCCTGGAGTCCTGTAGGATGATTCCCGCAAGGCCTGCCTGCCCCCCCCCCCTCCCTGCTCAGCGGGGAGTCTGCTTCTCCCTCTGCCCCTCCCCACCTCATGCTCTAACACTTGCTCTCTCTCTCATTCTCTTTCAAATAAATAAAATCTTAAAAAAAAAAAAAAATCAGTATTAAGAAGAAAAATCATGGCACATATACATGGACTTTCATACTAGCCCCCAAAGTAATTTTTCAGAGGACACTACTAAAAATAATGACGTTATTACTAGGCTTTTAGACTCTACTATGTAAGAACATTTCATAATAGCACTGCTGGTAAAGAATCTGATGTATGCTAGTATCACAGAAAAGAATACAAGAGGTCTTTATTCAAACTCTTTTAACATACAAATGGTCAATTTTTGCTTAGACTTAGTACCTCACAGAACCCACTTCATTTTTAACGGTATTAATTCTTATCAAATTCATGTTAAAAAGTCAAAATCTGCCACCATTATGCCCCCAGAGATCTTCCTAAAAAGTTTAATAATCTTTGCATCAAAAGTCAGTCCTGGGGCACCCGGGTGGCTTAGTCATTAAGCAGCTGCCTTCCGCTCAGGTCAAGATCCCTGGGTCCTAGGATGGAGTCCCTGCATGGGGCTCCCTGCTCAGCGGGAAGCTTGCTTATCCCTTTCCCACTCCCCTGCCTGCGTTCCCTCTCGTCTCTATCAAATAAATTAAATCTTAAAAAAAAAAAAAAAAAAGTTAGTCCTTTAAGCAACTTAATGACAGTTTTAAAGCTCTGGGTCCCAATCTTTTTCAAGTGAACCTTCCCCATCTCTTCAGTACCTCCCGTCTTATCACTGATAAAGACCACAACCCCCACCCTGCTACCCTGGATATGCTGGCACATTGTCAACAAATTCTTGGTTACCTTACATCAAAATACTGTTAGAACCCAACCAGCAAATACCCTAAATTCTTTCCCCGCTATAGATTAGTATTAACTTAAAGAATACTTCTTTTAGGGGCGCCTGGGTGGCTCAGTGGGTTAAAGCCTCTGCCTTCGGCTCAGGTCATGATCCCAGGGTCCTGGGATCGAGCCCCGCATCGGGCTCTCTGCTCAGCAAGGAGCCTGCTTTCTCCTCTCTCTCTCTGCCTGCCTCTCTGCCTACTTGTGATCTCTGTCTGTCAAATAAACAAATAAAATCTTTAAAAAAAAAAAAAAAAAAAAAGAATACTTCTTTTAGAAGAAGAAAACTGAAGGTAAAACGTGTTATATTCAAGCAGGAAAATGGCTAAAGCCACACATAATGAATGCACAGACTACCAAAAAAAAATTATCTAAATCAAGCTTAGGATCCCACATTAAAATCAAGTTTTTATCTTTTAGTAACTTAAAACCACAGACTTTTAACTCTCAGAAAGCTACAAGGTGTGATTCCTCATATCAACATGTTTTCTATGAATTAAGAAGAGTTAATGATTTCAGCAGTCAAGAGCTAATATGTGGAGTATTATTAGTGAGCCAACATCCATCCTTTGAACAAACTGAAGAAAATATTTCTTCCTAATAATGTATCCTATTCTACTTTAAATATTTTTGCTTTAAATAATTTCTAATAGCACTGATAAATTTCTCTAGTGATGCTGGGTAATTAGCCAACATTAACAAAATATTTAGCAAACAATTATGAAGAAATATTAATTCAAAAATAAGAAAAATATTGAATCTTAATCATCAAAGAAATACAAGTAGGATTCCAGTTTGTCTATCAAATCAGCAAGACTCCTCTTTTAATGCAGGGAAAATGGTGGTGAACATGCAGTCTTAAATATGGCTTATGTTCTTTCTGGAGAGTAATTTTGGAATAGTAATATAAGAAACCTTAAAAATGTCTGTCTCCAGCTTTAGTTATTCATTTGTGAGACTCTAATATATAAAAAAAAATATTATGAATCTAAAGGTCTATGCTTTATCATGTTTGCCTAGGTTCTTCCAAAATTCAGTTAACATAACCTTTGGCTCTTGGCTCAAAGTTTTACTTTTTCAGAGAGGCTTCTCCACCCTGTATATTCTGGCTAAATAAGACTTCTTGGTTGTACACACTCCTAGAATGCCCCACTTCTTTCCATCATAAGATGTCTCAAGTTTGTAATTACAAATTAGTGTGATTATTTGACTAAGATCTATCTTTCCCAACTAACCAGAGCACAAGACTCATATTACCGGGATTATATGTGCTTTTGCCAGTCGCTGCACTGCATCCTTCAGAGTAATAATATATAAAGCTTATGCACAGAGCAGGTACAATTACTTATCTCATCAAAAATAAACTTAGTATTAGCATGGAATGTGCATACAATGAAATGCTTTGCAGTCAATGAAGCAGATACAGAAAGAGCACAGGGCTTATGGCAGAATTCAATCTGGACAGGAATATATATATATGCATGTGTGCGTGTGTGTGTATATACATATGTATGTGTGTGTGTGTGTGTATATACACACACATGAACATGCATACTCATGCACATACTTTATGAATAAAACATTTCTAAACAGATATACCAGAAACCTAGTAATAGTCACCTTTAAGAAAAGGCTGGGAGAAAATGAGAACTTATATTTGGTTTTTCCATATTTAAATACATTTTGCTAACATTTTGGAATTTGCTGGGTTGAAGTCTAGTTAAGTCCAGCAATTATCAAAAATATAAAACAACCCCCCCAAAGTTCTAAATTCAGATTTTTGTAACATTTTAAAATGTACTCAGAAGAATGGCTACACTGCTACCTTCCCTGTCCATTTCATGGGGTCACATTTAGAATTCAAATGCTTTAAATGAAATTCTTTGATTCTTTATTAAAGATGATTCAAGACAGAACAGGATGGCATTTACTTCTTCAGAGATACTTTCTCTACTATGCCCTGCCCACTCTAGCTGAGTTAGATTTCTTGGTTATACACACTTCTGTTTTCTAAAGCAGACCTAATTTTGTAGTCAAATCATTTGGGTTGACACCAGCTTTGTAAAGATCTAGCTCAGGCAAATGACTTCTGGTCTTATTCACCATCTACAAAAATACAAAAAAAATCTATTCCTTTATTGGACTACTCTTATTAAGACACAAATTTATGGGGCGCCTGGGTGGCTCAGTGGGTTAAGCCGCTGCCTGCGGCTCAGGTCATGATCTCAGGGTCCTGGGATCGAGCCCCACATCGGGCTCTCTGCTCAGCAGGGAGCCTGCTTCCCTCTCTCTCTCTCTGCCTGCCTCTGTCTACTTGTGATCTCTGTCAAATAAATAAATATTTTTTTAAAAAGATGCAAATTTATAAAAGACTTAACCTGCGTTTGATAACTACTGAACATTCAATAAAATATAACTTTTCAGTTATGTCCATTTTTAATTATCTCAGCACAGGGTCAATATTTCTGCAAAATAATTAGCTGAGATGATCGTTAAAATGTACAGACTAACCAATAAATGTGCCACGGTAACGTTAAGATGTTAACATTAAGGAAAACTGGTTAAGGGGCATGTGGGAACTCTCTAGAGAGTAGCTCTACAACTTTTCTGTAAATCTAAAACTACAGCTAAGTTCTTTAAAAGAGAAAGAGATTAATCCCTATGCCCAGATCCTGAACCAAGAGGTCTAAGAGACTAGACCTAAAAATCTCCATTCTAAACAAGAAACCCCAGCCCCTGATGTAGGTGATTCTCAGACAATCAGATCACATTGAAAAAAACACAAGTTTCCGTTAATACCTACATTAGTTTTGTTGGTTTTTGTGGGTTTGTTTTTTTTTACTGCACTCAACATTAAATTAAATCAATGAAAATTTTATTTATCAGACATGAAATTACTTTCTAAGAGTTCAGAAGAATTTCCACTTCTGGTAGTGACAAGCTAAATTATGCAGACCAACTCTGCATAAAATAATTCCAAGTCCAGAATAAACATTTGCTGAAATCTTAAAAGCAATGTTTTAACTACTGAGAGGTAAAATCAAAAGCCCCAGACCTATCCAAGGTGGGAAATCTTTACAGCAACCCTCCACATTAAGCAAAGTGCTATATTATCAAGGATGATAAACCAGTTCTCTTGGACAAATAAACTAGAATCACTTATTAGTGTTGTCTCAAAACCTCAAGCCATGAGCTTTAAATGGTCAGCCTGATCATGTTCCTAAGTATCTATACAACCAAATGAGAAAGGCACCTTCATTCTAGACCTCAAATAATTTATACAAGTAGTTTTCAAGAGCAGTAAGGGCAACAGAAACAATACAATAGAAACCTGCCCCAAAGATTTAAATATTGTCAAAAGGACTATAAATAAACTTATAAACATAGACAAATGACAACCATGCTTATTGAGTTTGAAAATGCAGTGTCTGCAAAGAACAGCCATCTATTAAAGGTGATAAACAAATCCAGCAAAGAATGAGAGAACTTTGAGAAATAAAATAATGGAAATCAGGCCAAATGGGCAGGTTTATCAGTAGACTAAACACAGATGGAAAGATAATTGAGGGATGCAAACTTAGAAGAAATCTTCCAAAATATGGCAGAGACTAAAGGCTAGAAAATGGGATGTTTTATCAGTTTTAACTGATGTTAAAAGATATTTCAGGATACAACAGAGTCTAATGAAGATTTAATACAAGTTCTAGGAGTTAAGGAGAGAATGCACAAAATACTTGAAAAAAATGAAAAGCCTGGGGTGGCGCAGCAGTTCAGCAGCTGACTTCCGTCCTGGTCATATCCCAGGGTCCTAGGATCAGGCTCCCTGCTTGGTGGGG